AATAGCACTGTACAATGGATAGATGGCTCCATTGTTTCATAAACAGAAAAGGGAGAGTTCAAAGCACCTCCTCGGATACAAAATTAGAAGAAGGGCAAAAGAAGAATCGAAAAAGATATTCAAATCTAACACCGGGAATAAAAAGCAATTAAAAGGCGAAGAGGATACGCCAGTCGACCAAAAGAAGAGTCGATCAAAAAAAGAATCAATCGAAAAAAAAGGAAAAAAGAAAAAAAGAAAAAAAGAAAATTATCGACCAAACGCTCTTTCTTCAAAGCAAAAAGCCGACGCCCTGGTGTATAGGGTATGTACTCCGTAATGACAGTGGGAATATTCGTATATGAAAAATAAATAGAACACAAGTAAAAGCCAAAAGATAAGAATACAAAAAAAAAGGAAAAAAGGAGAAAAGAAAAGGAGAAAAGAAGGAAAGAAGGAAAGAAGAAAACAAGAGAGAGAGAGATTCGACCTTTCCAAAAATAAAATAAATGAATAAATAAATATTGAAAAGGAAGTAACAAAACCAACTGAGCAAACCAGCCACCCAGAAGAGAAGAAGATTCATCGTTTCTTCATCAATCTTCAATTCATGTTTTTCTAAGACTCCTTTTCCACACACATCCTTTTTCCTTTTGTATCGTGATTGGCATTTTGGGGGTTCACCCCAACAGAGCATGAGCAGCCGGGTTCATTAGCAAATAGCCTCCTTGAGGAGTACCAACTCAGACTCAAGGGCAAGAGCAAAATAAAAAGCAAAGGTGACAACAAGACCACAACGCCAGACAGAATTCAATGAGAAATAACCGAGAGATTGAGCAAGGCCGTTCGCGCCGCAAGTATAGGAAGGCAAATCGAAGGAAAAGGAAAGAAACCCGAAATCGGACAGTTAAAAAAAAAAAAAAAAACAAGGCCAGGGGGAAGAAGAAGGTGTAGCGGCGAGAATATATTGATTAAAAGATCAATTTCACTTCGATTCCAGAGGATGTTGATGGTGTCGACGAGTCACCGTTAGTGCTAGCGTCTAGCGAGCAATCGCGAACCTCAGAAATCTCAGCCGCCATATCCTGTCCTTCAGGGAGTTCATTCACGATATCATCATCTAGAATAACATGAAGCCCATTTCCACGGAGGCAGAGCGCTCGAACGACGCGTGACGCATCGATCTTGCATTTCTTGGAGATGACATGTACCAGGTCCTTAGCTGTGCGCTGTGTGAGATAGACGGCATGATAGTAGCCATCTGGGACCTGGTTGCCACAGGATTGCCGTATTTGGACATAGAAGCAGGAAGCTGCCGCTAAACGTTAGACCTATTTATGGAGCGTGGGCGATAGGGTGGTACAATAGGGAGGATGGAGGTTACGTACTGGGCTTCTTTGGGGCGGCCAACGGCAGCTGATAGGTGGCGTCGACATCCATCGCTTCGATCCAACCGTCGTGACCAGCGCGGCCGCCAGCAGAAACCTTTTGGATCTTCACTGGGTGGCTTAAGAACCGACCATTCCTAATTTGCTGTTGGCTATCAGAATCCTGTTGGGAAACGCTGGACCAATCCATCGAGTCGTGACGGGAGCCGTCATAGACTTGTGGTTGGTGAGGAAAACCTGTGTTGGGGTCAAAGGAGTTATGAGAGGAGCTGAGCGAATGGTTGCTAGTTGCGGGTGATAAGACATGCTGAGATGCTATGGAGGATCCCTCTGCGTTATTTCGGGACTCCCATCCTATTGAGTGTGAGAATCCCTCGTCAGTAATTCCCAGGTGGACTGGGAAGAGATCTGGGTCATCATGGGCATCGCCTTTCAAATTGAGAGCACTGAAAGGGCGAGTAGATGAAAACATGTCTTTCAATGTGCGGAGCTTGATTTGAAGATCCTCTTCTAAAGTTGATTTCCCAGAATCATTGCTTGATTCACCTGACCAGGCTCTTTTATGCTTTGTGATCTTTCCTTTGACAAATGAGCCGCTTCTTTTTCTCCTGTTGAAACCAGACCCGAGTTCAGCTTGGCTGATTTGCTGTTTCAGCTTGTCAATGAGCTTTTTGACATGTGCAACATCATTGGAAAGCTTTCGCTCGGCACCATGATCTCGAAACAACTTGACCTTGCAATAGCACACCTCAGGCCGGTCTTCAAGGGGTGGATTTCCATGGCCAGTAGATATAACCTCTGTTTTGGCACATAGACGAACAGGAATTCCCTTGACACCTTTGGAATGACTAAAATCGGTGGAGAGGAAATTGAAACGAACTGATATCGAGCAGCATGGGTTTCCATTGGGGTTCGGGGACCAAATAACAGAGAAACCATCGAAATTAGCAGTTTCTAGATGAACTTGAGATGGCCTGATATCTCCATCTCCGCCTTGGTTGGGGTCAACATGTTCTACTGCCAAGAGCTTTCCATCGCGGTGATGGGCTTCGTTGGAACCACGGCCCTCCTTCCATAGCTGCCAGCAGCTGGCTGGCTTTGAGCGTTGTTCATCATCCTCAAAAGAAACGCGGATAAAAGTGCGATATTTCAAAGGCTGTGCCCCTGATGTCATTGGCCCAGTATCCAAAACCGACATTGTATAGGCTTGGCCTTTGTTAAGATATGTAATTGGTATCTCATCAGGGTCTTTTACCATTGCTGTGGCTGCCTTGAGCGTGACATTGAACCGAAAGCTAAAACGGGACATGTCAGCATGATGGTCTGTCTTTTAAAAAAAAAAAAAATCACACGGCAAGTTACAACAGTGTAAAACCTTACTTTTCACTCCCTGGGTTCGGACGATTGTCAACAGGGGTTGATAAGCCTATACCGTGAGGGAGTAAACCAATGTGATTATTCGCATTTACCCCATTAATAGGAGAATTCTCGACATGTAGCGGATTGTATCTTGGGTCTCGATTTACAAAACTGCTCGGAGCATACGCTGGTGCATGATGGAAAGAGTCGACGCCGTTTCCTGCCTGGGGAGCGAAAGAATGGTGAAATGAATTCATGTCAATGGCAGATTGCATTGCAGCAGCATCGGTAGCAGAAGTACTGGGAGGGATTGAAAGCGGGCTCAGTAAATTAAGTGTCATTCCCGGAGTAGATAAGTCGGGTACTTGTGTATGGCAGGGCATGCCCATCCCAGTCGGTGTCGCGGTATAGTAGGTGGAAGGCTGGTTTGCGAGCGACGTGAATGCATAAGAGTTAGGGTCCATTATAGAAGGAGTAAATCGCCAGTGATCCGGGAGGCCTTTTGATGTTTGCTCTGTGCCTTTGTTTTCCTCAGAGTCCATCGTTGGTCTATACCCATTACTTCTCAATCAGCAACCACGTCAAAACCAGCATAATCTGAAAAGATCGCAATTTATAGTTTTGTATGAATAAGAATTAAAACTCACCTTTGTTGCTGTACACCCTGTTTCACGGGCGCATCGGCTAAATTTTTGTCCGGGTGGCCTTCAGCCGTTGTTGTTGAACCAATTCCGGGGCAAATCTCGGGAAATTTTTGTTTGAAGTTAGAGTAAAGCTCCTCTCCCGGCTTCTGTGAACTTTTCCTGTATACCGCAGAGAACTTAAGCAAAGGGGGCCATGTAATTGCGCCTGGAGTAAAGAACCGTGCTGGAATCGACTGGCTGTTATCTATTCCACGTACCGGTTACGAAACATTGGGATTGATTGATGGAACGAATGACAATGGTGGTAAGAAACGAAAGGCGCCAGGGGCAATGGCAAGACCAAGAAGCAATTGCTATAGTTCGCGATTAACGGGTATCCAGGCAAGAAACGTATCACACTTGGGGAAGGCACAAAAGCTTGGGAAATTTGTCGTAGCTCGGCGCTCAGTCCTTGACATGCGAAATGCTGTGCAACTAAATAGATTGATAGCGTCGGCCAGATCAAGAAAAGTTTTGAGAAGGGAAAAGGGGAAGGGAATATACAGAGAGCCAGGGAAAAGTTGTATTAAGAGGTGTATATAGTTTACAAGGAAAAGAGGGTAAAAGAATTATGGTGACGAGAGAATTTCTCTTATTTAATCTGAGTTCAAGGTAGGAGGAGATGCGTAAATATAACGATAAGATCCGAGGGGGGCGATGTTGTCAGACACCCAGAGCTGGGTACCACCACAAAGTTAACTAGCAACCCGCGATCTGAAATTATTTTTTTCGGTGGGCAAAGTGGTGACGACTATCTGAATAATAGCCTCTCTTATGCCACACTAGCCTAGACATAGGTCGGCGAGAGATGAGATGGACCATCGTAGTAAAGGATCCTCTGGGACTGTATCAATTGTCTGATTGGACAAGCCTTCTGAATTTGCGGGAGTCTCGCACCTCTCCACGGTACAGGATCAGGGGTGGTGTGGTGGGTGGTTTAGAAGGGAGGATCGCTTTTGGGATTATCGTTCCCTTAGGTACAGTACATGATGGATACATTATTATTTGACTGTGGGTTTCGAAGTGAAGTGGGTTTAGGATGGAGCAGGCCAGGTTCCATGCCTGAAGACGCCATCAGATGGGCTAAGTGAGGATCCACGGGAGTTGTAATGGTGGGGGGGGGGGGAAACAAGCCAGGCCCGCCACAGGTACGCTTGGCGGCAAGCCTCAAGTCGCAGCTAGCAAGGGCTCGACGGCTCCAGCTTGGCCCTTGTAAAAAGTAGTCGTCAGGACTGAGAAGAGAGGGATAATGGGTTTAGGGTTATGACGGCGGGCGGAACTCTGAAAGGAAGATACCAGATACAATTGATAGCTATGACGAAACATTGAAACAGTGATCCCGGTGATATCTCAATTGGCTTTGGGACTTACCACCCTCTCTCTCTATCTCTCTCTCCCTTCCTCAGCGTCGGCCTCATCCTTTCTTCATTGAGTTCATCGGATTCAAGCTGTCAAAGAAGCTACCGATAGCCACACATGAACCAATCACTGAGAATTCATATGGGGTACTTCCCACCACACAGCAAACATTTTGCGCCCTTCCTCTCCTCCCCGCACTTCTATTATTTCATAGGTAATCTACCAGTTGGTTGTTCAGACCCACCTACCTTTGCTTGATATTTCGTCTTTCGTCGGTGAAGTTCGCCTCCTAATCTGGCAATATCCGAGGTTAACCTAGGTAGCTATTGGAGCGCCACAAGTGCTGAATGCGCCACACTGATAAAGATCACCAGCCACTGAATGACGTAATCCCTAGCCTACTTCCTAGGCTCCTCACATCGCCCAGTTTCCCCACTTCTGCAGGCCGAGCTGTGCTCATCCGCGCCACACAAGCACCCTGCAGCACTCGGTGACCTAAAATATCTGCGCAGTGTAAATGGCAAAGGATGAATTCTTCAACACTGTCTGTCTTCTCCTCAGCGTTGGTGAATGGTTCTATTTCAGTAAGTCACTTGCAGAGAGGAGTGAGGAGTACACGCACGTGCATTTTTGAATCTGCTTACTACAGTTGGTCACCAATTTACGCGGTTTCAACCACGATATAGAAGCGTCAAACACACTACACTGGCCCCTGTACCCCAGCAGGTTCATTTTGCCTCCTCGGGCCCTGCTTCCGACGAATAAGAAAAATCATACCTAGGGACTATGTACTGTACATACTTGTACGGTCCCAATAGAAAAATAAATAGAATAAAATAAACCGGAAATGCATCCACACAACTTATTTTGGTCAAAAGGAGCAAAAAGGTTTAAAGGCTTAAAAAAATAAAATAAAATAAAATAAAATTAATAAAAACGATCAATCAATTCTTATCGTCTTAGCGCGATGTGGCTTTTATCCATATCCGTCGTCCTCCTACTGAATGCTCGGTTTGATAGGTTGGTAGACTAAACTCTCACTCCACTTCCTTGTGCACAATGCGGCACAACAGGTCCGTAATGATGTGTTCTGGCCCAAAGCGCGAAAGGGGTCAATGCTAAGCTCATCCTGTTAGTACTGTATATACATACCGGGGAGGTAGGTACGTGTGATGTACGTCGATGATATTTCCCCACCCCGCCTGCATACATGGTCTGGTTGGCCTCGGATGTGGAAACTATCGGAGGGAGAAATGTTGAGATAAGTACTGTACATATACATATTCATATCAAATAGCTGTGAAGGGGGCGGGCTGAGCACACGGTGCTTCTCATTTCCCCCCTTTTGGATCTTCATGCCAGTCCATGTACCGTACAGTACCCATCGTGTTCTCCGTAGGATCTACAACGTCTGGATCGTGCGCGTATCCCGATCTCTCTCGATTCTAGATCGGGTGGGGGAAGAACAGTCCAAAGTGCAAGGGCAAGGAAGAGTATGGCCCCCCCGCTCTCCCACCTAGGCCTGGACAAGCAAACCGCACCACAAAAAATATATATATCAATTTTTATCTCCGTAGAAATGTGCGACGTTACCCAGGGTTTGTAGCGCAAACGGCAGAGCCTGAAGCATCCAATATCAATTAAGCTCAAGGCACCATCTCAGCCTCCGTATTTCTGTGCTACTGCTTGAATTGGGCGTCCGAGAACAGGGCTATTTTTGACTGATAACACTTGTTGGTTGCTAGCGGAATAGATTCCGGAACAGACCGAAGCCACTGGAAAGTATAGTACATAGTTGCATATCTCTAGGGACTTTGGCTGCCGCCGCTCGATATATTGTTCGTCATCGCTGGCGAAACCATTAGCTAAGTCATTGAACTTCATCATTGTGACCAGGTCAGCGAATTCTTGGGCGGAGAAAGGTATTTTGCCTGCCCAGATACCTAGGGGCAGTCGACTAGGGGGTTGCCGAAATGCGCGATCAAGGAGCTCATCACATCGGCCTCTGCGGCCCCAGGGATCCTTGCCTGACACTCAATTGCACGCCGAACGGATTGCCTCCAACATCGTAACAGAATAGGAGATAGGTCCCACAGTTCATCGCAAGGGTTGGGGAGTGTTGGAGCGTATCCTATTCTCGCCTGGTAAATCTACAATCAAGCGTCATTCATTAAAACCATCAGCGTTTTGATCTTTCTTTAATCACAACTGATATTGAAGGGTGCTGATCCTCTAGACCGCAGTTATTAAACGAGTTGTCGCACGTACATGGCTTTTGGCCGTTCCTTCTGATAGCGCCGAGCAAATGGGTAATACTGCGTAATATCATATCGACCAATCCTCTCGGCAGCCAGTTGAATTTCAAAATCCAATCATAACAAAAAAAAGGACTTATTAATCCTTCCCCATTATTAACGTCTAGCCTCTCGCCGGACATGGGCTAGCTGGTGGGCTTTTGGGCGGGGGAGGTCTGGGCAGAATGTCGTTCAGCGCTCTGTCGTCAAGCCCCTACGTTTGGGGCAGTTGATCCCCTGCGGCCAAACAACTATAGGCTAAATCTACCAGGGTAGGATTTAGTTCAGCCTGGGTTCCTCATTCTGATGACATCACCATCCGCTCCTGGGACCTGGGGGTGGACGATCCTTTTCTCGCCGCATCCATCCATTGGCACTGGCAGTAATTCCAATCTTCGTTCTGAGTCGTTGCCCTGCCTCGAGTTGCGAAGCGGGGCTGTAAATGATTAAAGAGATCCCGCACCCCGCTAGCCATGTTATTTATTGGGAGGGGGACATTTCGTCATCACAGTAAGGACTCGCCTAGACCCCTAACCCATTATCAAGACACTTACGTCGTGTCGTATGCTGGCAGATAAGATTGCTATTTCTCACGGCAACACGGCTAGAGAAATCAAACACTATGTCTGCATGGCAGTAATGATGATGGCGCCGCCATTTTATTGGAACTATCTGTCAGGAATCGTTAGTTACCCTAACTTTAGCTAAAGGAAACCAGAAGCAAACCAAAAATAAAAAATAAAGAAATATAAACAAAGAGGTGATGGAAGCAGGGTTCAAGTCCGGGGGCCAAGAGGGCTGAGAGGAGTTAACCCATCGCCTGGGGGATATACAGAAGTTTGACCCACTTTTCTGGACACATCTTCGCAACTTTATTAGTGCTTCCTCTAAAATAAACAACCCACATCACGCATAGTACACAAAAATTACTAATACAGTGTGACTGTCTCTCATAATTTTCATATTTCGCTCATTTTAGCTCTTTCTGCCCCCACCACACCAGCCACAACTTCTCAAAATAGGTACCTTTTGTATGAATATCTCATACAAAAGGTACCTGTCAACTCATATATCCACAACATCAGGTACGAGTAGAATATTAAAAAAAAAAAAAAATAAATAAATACATCAATTATTCTTATTTTGCATAATGGCTATAATTTAGTAGCAAATTTACTGGTGATTTTGAAGTTAGTAGTAAAACTTTAATATATTTAAATTCTTATATTCTCTGCTCAATATACATATCATGAATCTGATGTTGTGTTGAAGATATTAATTTTTTTAGGTATCTTTTATATGGTGAGCCCATACAAAAGATACATTGGTCATAGCGCTGTAACCCGCCATCTCCTCGAAACTCAAACAAACCAAGGATTGCTACCCCATACTACCATTAAATGCTCGTACGAATTCTTCAGGCTATCAGACATCCCGGATTCCAATTGTATTGCCACTTCTTTTTTGTAGAGAGCCACCCTCGATCCCATGAGAAGGCATCATTCATTATCGGCTTGACTCACTTCCATCTCATATTAGAAAATGTCGAGGGCAACAATAACAAGGCAGAAGGAGGTTTGGACGATCAGAGAGCTTCTCCACAAACGCAAGGAACCCCGTCCCAAGCCTGTCGAGTAAGATTTTCTTTGATCTATCTTTTCTGTGTCTTCCAGGGTTGGCATGTCTGGTCTGACTAATCATCTATCGAACCAATCGACCGTTGATAACACTCTGCGCTCATGTTTTCATACAACGAAACGTCGTTGCTTTCGGACTTAGTGCTTCTGACAGAGTAGCACAGAAAAAAATATATGTAAATACAAATAATTCTTTTGGCCTTCAATTGCTCAGCAGAGTTGACAGCCTGGAACCCTTTGGGTCACAGAGCATTATCTAATTTGCCATCTGTTGACAAAAGTGGAATGGCTCGGCCCGTTAAAGGCAGCGGTGGTGACCAAGCTCTTTTGCTTAGTAGTTGCACCATCGAAGTAAACTTCACCTTAATTTTTAGCCTCGTCCTTCTACTTCTACATGATTGTACTTTGTATTGATATCAATATGGGTATGGAGTCTAATATGACGGGGGAACTCCCTTTGTCATATCATATACTGAGTATACAGCGGAGAGAATACGGACTTTGAGATCTCTCAAAAGGAAATATAAATATTCCCAGGATAACTCAGGTGGGTTTCCCCATCCGTAGACTTTGCTGAAACCTTGCCCAAATCCGCCTCCGATCGGCAGCCACAAATCGTGGCAGGAATGAACCTCCCAGAGCTAGTGAGTTGACTAAAGCGTTCATGCAGGACAAAAATGAAGGCTGGCATGGTAAAAGGTGCAGACCTGTAGAACAGAAAAGGACATCAAGGTTGGTACGTATCCTAATTGGGAAGTTTTCCGATCATCCTCCGCAGATCCACGGAGCTTCTTGATCTCACTCCACACCATTCGGCCATCATACATGACTTGGTGTTGATCGTGAGGCGCTTCTTGCATACCCGCGACCTTTTCTTTTCCTTCTTTTGCTTTTTCTGTTCCTTTCCTATCCAATCTCGTTCCGGTTGGTCGTTTTGGGAAGAATGATCATGGCTAAAATGGGCCGGGTCAGTCGGCAACCGAAAAGGAAGGGAAACTAAAGGTAGCCCAGTTTCCCCCAAGCACTTGGTAAAAAGGTACATTACATGATAGACTGAAGTCCGCTACGCCGCACTGATCCCTAAGACCTTGGGTCTTTACTAAACAGCGAGTGGGGAAAATAAAGTTACCTACCTAGTTAAACTTGTGGATGAACTGGGAAAAATGATTGTCAAGTTGATTCATTCTCTTTGTCTACAAGTTATGGCTCGTTTTCGCCCCTGAAAAGAAGCAACTCAAACCAGAGGGTAGTTCACTACCTAACGGAGTACGGATGCCCCCGGAAGAAGTTTTGTCTCGCCTCACACTAAGAATTTAAACTGAAATAAATACTGATCCTAGCATTAAGTATTGCCGTTCCATCTCACATCAAGAGAGTTTGACTCTTAGAATTAGAGACCAATACCCCCTGGCTTGCTCACTAGCTCACCGCCCAAATCTCAGATGGTCTGGCCTACCGAGAGATTCGTTGCATTAGAAACCATATTTCAATATAATTTCTTAGCGTGAGGCAAAATTTTCCACAGAGGCCTCTGTAGGTGGCTGGCCAATGGTCCAGACTAATCGGTATGGTATCTGAGAGGACTCCTTGCTGAGTTGCGGTCTTGATTCCGCCCCTGAGTGTCATGAGGTATCAAACGTACTGTACCTCGCACTTTGCCTTCCCCAGACACCATCCCTGGGATAGCGATATTCGAATTTCTATTCGTCACCGTCGGCAACTACGACAAAACTCTCCATCACGCTGGAAACCAATGGCCAACTTCAACCAAGTGGGAGAATCGAGGCGCGTGGGCAAACAAGGGTCCTTAACCTTTTCCCAACGGTCAGCCAGCACTGCAGATCAGCTGGAAAAAGCAAATTAAATAAACGACTGGTTTGAATGCTGAATATTTTTCCCGGTTCGTTGATCAGGAGAGGGAGGGCTGGCCGATTCAGAACTGAAGGAAAGGCGCCCCCTCGGGGCGCGGAACACCCCTCCCCTCCCCCAACCCCCTTCTTTCAACCTCATGCTCCTCTTTGATTGATCGATCCTGATGGCGGAGGCTGTTTTAGTGCAAGTTCCTCCAGTCCAAACTCCTCAAAGGGAACCAAGATTTTCCCAGGAACGTGTTTTTATAGATTATCAAGTGGGGTTCTCAATTCATCTCACAATGCGTGAGGTCCAGCTCGCCCGGCTCGTTTTCTTTTCTTTTTTACCCCAGATGAGCTGCAGAAAAAACAATTATTCGCAGAGACAGAATCAGGGTGATTCAGTGGCTGATGTACTCTGTATGGGTGAGCGACAGGCGCTAAGAGCAGCCAAGATTGCTAGGGGTTACCTTGACGATTACATTGTGGCTTCTCTTAGGGCCCTGGAAGGAAGTACCTTCCATGTTACTCTGTACTTCGTCTAGATTTTGCTTATTTTCCATTTTCCTGGTCTTCTCTGTCCTGGCTGCAAAGAATGGGGGGAATAATGTTTTGCTTCGACCGCGGATAACATATGGTTCTTGTTCCCTTTTTGGGCCAGCCAGAATCCCTGCCAACAGCCCGACAACTTGGTTCTGCAGATGTGACGGCAAAGCAAAATAAAATAATAAAATAAAATGAGTCAAAGGCAGCATGGGCGAAACACATATACGCAGTAGCATCGCCTTTCAGGGAATCCTGTCAAAGCATCTTCGGGGTGGACGCGCCGTTCTGTTCTTTCGCCTGGGCATCCAAAATAAGCCACAAGTGATAGCCGGTGGTATTACAGGCTTCGAGCCTAACTTAACACCGACTCATTCACAAGGCCCAACAATCCTTGCATTCTGCATACAAAATCGCCACCTCCTCATTTTCCAGCGCATCTTCATCCCCCCTTCCGCATCAATCCATAATCGAAGGATACAGACCAGCCTTTTACGGAGGTTGTTCCGCGCAATAAGAGGGCTAGGCCAAAGAAGCTCTTTTTTGCGATCCTCACATCCACA